ATATATATATATATATAGTTTGTCATGCTTATAGTCATCCTGACTTGTAAACAAAGAACAACAAAAAAAAAGGCACAGCCAAAACGATGCCTTAGTGAGCAGCTATGTTTGGCATTAAACATTAGTTGGTGAATAATTACAAAAATCTGAAAAGTCTGTGTCAGGAAAAATGACCACCACAGCAATTTGCAATATAAACAGTTCCAAGCGGAGCAGGGAAGCCCTACCCTCTTAAATTTAAGGATCTGTTGCTTCAGATCTGCTATTTCTCTTTGGCCTTCATCATCTCCCATGTTTTGGGGCGTGTGTAAGAAATTTAACAGGCAGCACAGCGGTGAGTCCACCAATATCCTGTAACCCCCTCCCCGCTCCCACCACCTTTTGCATCCTGTCAACAACAGCTTGTGCGCGGCTGTGTGCAGCTGAATTAGGCGGGACACGCTGACTGCCAAGATGATATCTGATGATTAGGGACCAACATGCCCCCAAGGCCAGTTGCCTAGGATATGAGAGCAACAATAGCAGCAACAAACACAAAGTGCAGAGAGAGAAAAAAAAAGATCAACAGTGCGTCACCGGCTTCTTGAGATTTAACAGCCGTTGGATTGAACAGCAAGAGGTGACCCACATTGTGTGCAACCTTCGGAGCAATGTCCTCCAAATCAGCCTCTTAAGTGGCTACCACTTATTTGTTATGCTGATATCATTGGGCAGAAAACTAAAAGGTGGCATTGTCCTGACAAATATCAGTTATGAGTGCACGAAACGGGATATTCTTATGACAGAGACAATCACCTACGGAACGAACAAGGGGGATTATGAACTTTTAGCCAGTTGGTGAAAAATGAAGGAAACGGGTCTTTTTAGTCAAGACAATTTCAAGAATCAGTAAACGGTGTTAATTAATTATATTTTACCCTTGTATGACCGTTGGATGTTAAAATGTGATGTAAGTATTACCTGCAGAAAGAACAAAGATCTGAACTAGAAACAGCTGAATAAATATTACTATTCGAAACGGTTTCAAAATCCGAACAAAATGGAGATTGACCATTATCCCAGAATGGACTGAATTCAACCTTAGATGTTCAAAAGTAGCACAGGACTATGAAAGAGTGTTGAACAAAATGTCTGTGTAGCTTATCAATCATGCAGGTCACGGCAATCTGCAAACGTTGAATCAAATCAAGTAGCCATTGATTTAGTCTGTGAACGACTTAAATAGACTCCAGCCGACAGGAAAGAACCATCCTCACTACAGGTCAATTTTGTGATCTACTTCAAGTTTGACTTTGCACCACTTGCTTCCAATACAAGGAATGTTTCTACAAGCAAAAAACACGGTTGTGCCATGGCTTCGCCAGTCTCTACCAGTTTGGGCGAAAGAACAGCACTGGACTCCTGCAGAGGAATTATGCCCAGCAGCTGGTTCATGTATGCTGATGACGCATTGGTTAAGATGAAAGACTGGAATGTAGATTTGTTTATGGAACTCATCAACTCTGTGGACAGAAACATCTGTTTGACTCAAGAAGACAACGAAAAGGAAGCGTTACCGTTTTTGGACTACGAGTTTTGGACAGAGAAGGACGGACATGTCAATATCGAGGTCTTCAGAAAATCTTTTCTTTGACTCCCGTCACCCAATGGCACACAAGCTAGGAGTTATCAGAACACTTGAGGACAGAGCAGAGAAATCCCCCACCACCGACAACGGAAGACAGAAGAGGCAGATTCACATCATCCGGGTCAAGCTGTGGGTTACAAACTGGGTCTTTGTTAAATTTGCCAAAAGAAGAGTCACTAAGCCGAAGCCTGATGACAGGAACAGAAGGTTGCTTTTGTAGAGAAACCCAGAAGGATTTTCTTCAAAAGTAACAGAGTGATTTATTTCAAACACACAGCACTCAGACAAACGGTGAGCGGCTTCTTCAGGTTGAGAATCTGCTGATCTCCTGCAAATTCAACGTGAAGCGTGCCCCTAATGAGCTGTTTTGCCACAACACGAGTAGACGCATGATTGGCATGCGAGATGGTCATTTCACTAACCACACTGGGCAAGAACAACAACACCCTACTGTTCACCAGCCCCAGGAAACACACCCACTGGGGCATAAAAGAGGGACTCCACATCTAACATTTGCAAGTGAAAAAGTTTGTTGGATTAATGGTCAAATGTCTTCAACAAACAAAAAGAGTCCAGTTGCATTGATTCAACCTTAACAGAATGTTAAACTAACAACTTATCTGCCTCCATTCTTGTTTCAGAATAATACATTGAAAAACAATCCTGGATCTTGGCACCAAATTACAGTGTTAATCTTTGACACCATTTTGTGCCGTTTGTCAAGTGTCAAACGTGTCTCTTGGTGAATAGGCTTCTTCCTGGTTCAAAGAGAATGATTTATAAAAACAAATTTTCAATCATGTGTTTTTACTGCTTTAGTGTGTGCCATATTAGAGAGAAATGTAGCATGTGACATACTTGCTGTGTTTGTCTCCACCAACAATTAAAAGTCTTCACCTCCCAACCAGATTTATATCATGGTACCAGGACTGTCTCATGAGACAGGCCACCCAGACTGCCCAAAAAAAAAAAAAAAAAAATAGAAGAGTTGCAGTCAAAGACCAAGCGGAAGAAGCTAGGCTAACTTGTAACTATCGCGCGGTTGCCAAGTCTTGTTGTATTCATTGTGGTGAATGATTTGTGAGATACATTATACAAATACGGTACTCACCAAAAGTAGTTACTCAAGCCTTTTCTGTTTAGATTTGAGACATTTAATCTTGTTTAGATCGTTGCTTTTGAAGTGTACTTTCAGCCTTTTGCATTTTTGCATCTGCCGTGGTGTAAAATCAGTCATCAGAACCAGACTTCATAATTGCGTTCAATTAAGTTCACGTCACGTGTTTGGTGGGAATGCATGGAAGCTAAAATTAAATCATCCGTCCCTCTAATGTGAGGTGGAGTGCATGAAAGGTGAGTCACAAATTGCCAAGTATGCTACAAAAGTTTACAGGGTGACTGCACAGGGCTTGAATGCAGGACCTGCCGTGGCTAGTTAGCCGCGCTGGGCTAAGCTGCATGCTGCTAAGTACTAACTGGGCTGTAATCTTAACGGCTCTGTTCTCTGCGATAATAAGGATGAATGGAGAGCAGCTGTTTGGGGTGTAAAGCAAAGCATAGAAAGCGTGGTTTAGAAAAGAATGTGGTTGAAATTAATCTCGTGGAACATGCCCAAGGCCATGTACAAAAGAAAAACTGCCCGTTACATAGTGTACGAACTGCATCATACCGTATCGGCATACTGTAGAAAACGCACGTGTAAAAAAGTTTTGGAGGGGGGGTTTTTCTCTGTGAATCTGGAGCAACGCACACGCTTTAGTCATTCAGCTCCTCTGAGACGTCTCTGCGGACACTGTATGTGACTCACGTTACAGGGGCAGTAATATGACTTATCGCGTTCAAGTGTGGAGTCACCGCTAGAGTTGTCACAGATGGTTTGATGGCACCGAGTGATAATGGGATTGCCTATTCTCCCTTCAAAGGTAATTTGAGCTTTTTATATCATACTCCAAATCCCACAGGCTGCCTCTCGCTCCCTCGTCAGTCGCTTTCATTCTATTTTGCTGCACTATCTCGGTTTACAGATCGGCCTCGTGCTGCCTATGTGACCACTGGAGTAGGTCGGGGGTTGGGCCAGCAGAGTAAGAGCTCAAGGAAAAGACTGAGAAACGCGAGAAAGAGAAGGGAGGGATGAGTTTCACATTAATGCAAACACAGCTCTACACATTCCTCACGGGCCGTGCATCCTGTTCTCTCAGCCTCATCCAAACCCCCGAGGCTCATGCGAGACGCCGCACGTACGCACGTCTCAAACCCTCCACCCAAAACCGTGCCCAGTCTTCCTCTGGCATACTTCCTTTGACCAATTTTGTTTTTCTTTCTTTCCTTTCCGCTCTGTCCACTAGTAGTGTTCTTTTCGTTTTGGCCATGCTGAACTGATGCGTTATAATGAAATACCCCAACATATTTGGTGAGGAAAATTTAACGGTCTGAGAATATAACATTGCAAGAAAAGTGAGTGAAGTCATACGATGTGAAAAGGTCAGCGGTGTACAGGAATTACACATTAGGGGGGAAACACAATTTGACAAGGATAAATGACAAGAATAAATCCAAGTAGCAATTAATGAATAATTAAAGGGGAATATAGTTGTAATATTAAGATAACACCATTCTGTGCGTAGTGCTTTTGCATTTCTTCAGTGCTAATGCATGCGACCTACTCTTGACTTGATTACTCTGTCAAAAAATGTGACTTTTTTTGGTTACTCTGTCAAAATTACTGCTGAGACGTTTTGTAAAACGCCATAAAATGGACTATTTCGAGTCTTCAGGGTCCGACAATTAAGCCTTATTGGGTGGTGGCCCTGTTGGGCCAATATTAGCCAAGTTGTGCCTTGCCAGAACCAGCACTGGCCCAGATTAAAACCATGCTTATAGAATTTCACAATTAAGCAAGCATGTCGGCCTCCTATTAGATGAAGTACAAAAGTGTTCAGTCTTAACGGCCAAAGTGCACGCCAGTAGAACTGGGCAAGATGATGCTATGTAGTGCAAAGACGATAAAATAGATTCTGTCGTGCCTCTTTTCATTTGCCACCGAAGATTGACGTTGCTCATGAAGAATACGGTCTTAGCAAATAAACAAAATATGATGGCACGGTTTGCTTTGAACCGGGCTGAACTGCGGTCGAGGACGGCCCGTCCAGACCCATTTCTTCATAAATCGGTTAACTTTGCCACATCCATGTATAATCGCTGTAAACGTTGCCCGTGGTAATACTTGCCACTGGTTGTCGCAAAGGGCGCCACTCACCACAACTGACTGGGAGAGGCACTGCTGCGTAAATAGGGTACAGCAACACCAAAAATGTGGAGCAAAGTAAGTACCAATAATAATTGGGCTCCTGATGCATTTCACGTGCCCCCCTTAAGGCCCAGTGAGGTCTGGTGATGGGTCTGAATCACTTTACTGTTCTGGCTTCTGCTTTTCTTCATCCACTGAGTTGGATGCAGGCCTTCCAGAGCTCACAAGGCCAACTATGACCAACAAGCATCGAGATTGAGGGCCAATGAGATGACTCTAAGACTTTTTTGCTTCAGCTATTGAATGAGATTGCGCAGCTGTGCCTAATATTGTGGCCAGAGACTACAATGAGACTTTAATTTCAAGTCCACCTCCGTACGACTAAGTGAAAGGCGTTTGTGCGGCTCTCACGACTGAGTCGGGCGGCACAGAGGATCATCATGTTTTAACATGTGCTCGTTAAGCCTCAATTATTGAGTCAGGATCCACAGCGCTGAAGCACGACTGACCTTTTCAACTCGGCACAGACAGCAGCGTTTGCATGCACACTGGCATACATGCGCCTGTATGCACGCAGGCTCCATATGGCACAATTAACCTTTTGAACTACACGCAGATACAGAGTCTGAAGGGCGCACACATGAACATACAGAGACGCACATGCTTAGACTTAAACATGCAACACTGGGCGCGTATGTTAAAAACTCTCAAATAAATCCTTGATTGGAAGCCTCCTTAAAATGCCACATGACACATGCTTTGATGGGTGAGAGCGGAAATGGCTTCTCATGAAAACGGACAGCTGCAACCATGGGGAGGGTTTAAAAAAAAGCCTCTGGAACTGGAAGTTTATTTCTAGGCAGACAAAGACACAAAATTGTCAAATCAGACAGTAACGCCATCTCACGATTGCCATTATCATTAACGACTGTAGATTTGCATTTGTAGTGTCTAAGTTTTATGGTTCTTAATTAAACGTGTATTTTAAAAAAATTGCACATAAAACGCACAATATAAAAGTTTTATGTTGTGTATTTTATTGAGTCATATAAGCATTGGATCCACAACACCTCAGTCAGAATTCTGGCTCTCGGATATTGCCTGGCGACCATGTGCCACACAGCTGGGCACAATCAATTGCTTTCTCATGGTCTGCTCAAGTGAATAAACCACACCTGTTCTCCGAATCAATCTCTTCCCTTCCCATCTCAAAACTACCGTGCGCGTGATTATGTAGCCCCCTTAAAAAGGGGAACAGGGCGGGAAATAAGTGAAAGCGGATGTTATCTTCACCTGTCTGCCATTTTTGACCGATAACCTATTTCCAAAAACATGAAATAACCATCTCAGATACACTGTTAATTTATTTTAAAATTAGCAAACGTACACATTTAGCAAGAGATGAAAGAATGAGTTCCCACAGAGCAGTTTCAATGAGCTGGTTTCAAACTTTATTTTCAAAAAGGCTGTCCCATATGTTAACCTAACTGTGGTGTTCAAGAGTACCAGCACCAGAACATTATCTTACAAACAATCTCACCATGGGTTTATTTGGCTAACTCGACAGTGCAGACCAGTACTCTAAACACATTACCTCAATTTGATTAGGATCTTTCCGCCTGTTGGCCTGCTAGCAGGCCGGCTCCTCAAGTCTCTGTCACTCATGTTGCTCCCTATCTCCTCTTCTTCCTCCTCCTCCTCCACCTAATCCACATCTAAGCCTCCTGCCGGACTCACATCCCGTGAACCCCAATTACGGAAACAGGAGATGACAGTGGGGTCGGTGGAGCAGAGAGGTGATGGCGAGAGGAGCCGTACAACCTGCGGAAGAATTAGACAGGCCTGTGTTTGTATCTGCTCAGATAAACAACAGTGAGACTGAACAAATCAATGAGTCATTTGATCATAGTTGGGACTTATCAAGGGTGGCACAGTGGATGTACCGGAAGGAAGTGTCTATCCAGGTCAGGTTAGCTTGCATCTTAAGCTGTAGCAAGGGATCAAAGAAAGACTTGGCCATAACTCAAATTCAAAGCTTTTTGGAAAGGCGTCATTTCCATACAACATCAGGGATACAACAATGTACACTGTGTGGCAGGGGTTCTCTCTGCGTGCAAGGAATGTTTCAAATGCTACCGTTTCAACCTAAATATTCAAGACACGTTTAATAGAAAGGAAACCACATTCAATTGAATGAAAGTCGATATCTATCCATTACCACTAGCTGACGTGCCCTGCTTCCACAAACAACAGGGTTGCAAAAAGACAGGACTTAGTTTACAAAAGCAGTCAGTTTTGCTAACTTAGCGATTTGGTTGTTCTATTTAGTGGGTTGTAGTCGATTGACACTAAGAAACAAAGATGAGCGTATCGTTTTTCTATGACAAGAAAGGACCCAGTGGTAGGCAACCAGTGAGTCAATCATGCTGAACATTGCACTTTTAACCCGCTGCGTGTTTTGAAAAAAAAATATCTGAGGGGAATTTTGTCCCCCTGCCTCACTTGTGCAACTCAACATGAGAAAAGATTTAGAGTTTCTTTGCAAACAGCTGTTAAAGAAAAAAACGAACAACAACAAAACTTATTGTGGCCAAAGTGACAATTATTAAACCATTATAATGAAAGAAAAAGAGGAGAATACGGACTGGGAAGCTAGCTGTGACTTCCATGGTCTGTGTTCGACTACAGAGGCTCCTCGGTTTACAATGACGTAACTCGAATTTGCATGCAAATGGTTACGCGCCACAGTTTATCACTAACCTACGGTAAGTTACGCAGCTGTAAAGTCATAATGACAGTATTTCGAGCAAAAAAAATTCTTAGACCATTAACATATTGTGTAAATGTAAAAACAAGTACGATGGTCACCAAATGTGCCTGCCTTCTGAAACCGTGTGAAGAGGTATTCTTGTGCTGCATTCCGACATAGCCGCTATGCAAAATAGTTCATTCGGAATGAAACTGTGCTAGACCGTGAACTCCCCGTACTGCATACGGCTGCGAGGCCTTAGGCCGGGATTCAATCTCGCTTGTGGTGACGCACCCCACAGTTAAGTAGTAAAGGTGAGCCACTGGCTCAATTACCTGTGACAGGGAACTTTGAGAGGGTGTTAACTTTGTTTTAATTATTGAAACATGGGGTAGTTTGAGCACATAATGTCACACACAAGACACCTGGGAACTGTTTTCATTTGTGATTAAAATGGCACAATTTCTCTCCTTAAAGGATTGTACCTGCCTGTACCGTTTCATTTTTGATGGAACAGATTCATTTATATTCTGTTATTTCCTGTGGGATAAATTGTATCCACATCCAATCATCCCTGAACAGATTATATATGGCCTGGGAGATTCGCTGTACTTTTGTTTAATAGCCCGGTGTACCAAGATTTTGTCAGCAATGTGAATGTCTGTTCATTGTAAGCCGTCAGGTTGCACCTGTTTGGAGATTAAAAAAAAAAAAAAAAACAGCTGACTGAAGCTAACAACTGGATGGCGAAGTGCTCAGTTTCCTATGGTTTCCTTTATTGCACTTTGAGGAAGTATTAAAAGTGCACAGGGCAAAATGAGAACATAAAAAGATGTGTTGGGGATTATTAAGAAGTTCTTTTGAGGATGTTCAAACAGCAAAATGAGCTGTTTAATGGTCAGAGCAGACCGTACACTGGCTGGTGCCGAAAGCGCAGCCCCAGGCTGGATCTTAAAGGTCACGATCTGTATGTCGCTTTAGAAGGTCGCTCAAAGTTCACGACACGAGCCTGCCCATACTTGGCTTTTGCGTTTCTTAAAGGCTCACAGCTGAAATTTGAAATGATTGAGAGGAAAGGAGGAAGAAAAGAAAAGAAAAAAAAACATCTGGAATGTTCATTGGCTGCAGCTGGGCATTGTTGAATGTGCAATGTGGACCTGGGCTCACATGTGTGTGAATTATCAATGTGTGAGCAAAGAGGAAGTCGACATTGGGAAGTAAATTGCTCTCTAATACGTAGTCCAATATACTCATTTAGCATTGAGTTATCGTAGCAATTCTACTATCAATGAAGATCGATTACTCAAAATGAACTAATACAAGAAAAGTGGTAAATGGGCTTTGACTCAAATAGTGCTTTTCAACTTTTGAGCTACACAAAGCCCTTGAACAGCGTCTTTTGGGGGATGACTTCCCCTTTAAGTCTTAAAGTTTTTTAGAATTGTTTGTATATTTTACAATGATTAAGATTAATCATACTATTTTGTTCCACTTGTAAGCCCAGTAGGATTGGTAAAATCCACCCACCCACATTCTAAAGCGCTTGCACTCATTGGAGTCATGAGTTAGCTGGAGATGACTTGGGGCGGAGATGACTTTGACACCCTCTGAACTGGTTGCCAGCCAATCACAGAGCCGAAATAGACAAACAGCCATCCACACTCGCATTCACACAAATGCACAATTTAGACTACATATCAGTTGCGCCAACAGGCATGTTTTTGGATTGTAAGAGGAAGCTGGAGTAGAAAAAAAAACGTAGTAATGTGAAAGTAAAAACCCACACAGCATGCAAACTCCACAAACAAAAGGCCAAAGCAGAGTTGAACACAGAAGCTATCGATCGTGACGCAGAATGGCAAACCACAACAGATTATTGTATTCCATTAATGGAAAGCAATTGTTTTCAGGTGATACATTTCACTGACTTGAATGGTTTGTATTACACATCGGTGAGTCACATCTCATGCGTGTGGCATAAAAATGGTCAAACGGTGACAATCTGCGGTAATAGCTGCAAAAATAAAAAGGCCAACATCACACTACAATATTCCGATTCTGTCAGTGGGAGCCTATTGTGTACTCTGTAATCAGTCCTTAAGTGTTTCACATGCTCATTTCTAGGAAAAAAGCAAACATGGAATCATTTAGATTGGAGAGTGTGACAAGCGCAGGCGCAGAGTGAGATCAAAATCATTCTAAATCCACCTGAAATTATTTGGATTAGCCGTCTTTATTCACTTAAGAGGAGTATGACACAATGGCAGACGTCGGAATCACTCGCCGGGTGAAAGCATTGAGACATCTGGTCAGCAGCAACTGAACATGGAAGATATCGCAGCGATCACTGATGCTGGGCGTGAAGGCCCAGCTTCCATTGTTGGATCTAGCACATTTCAAAGGTGATTAATGACGTTGAGGTCTGAGAAAAAAATGACTATTCACACTACAACTTTTTTCCCCCCAAAAAATCACGTCCTATATATATATATATATAGAGAGAGAGAGAGAGAGAGAGAGAGAGAGAGAGAGAGAGAGAGAGAGAGAGAGAGACATTGGGAACTAAATTGCTCTCTAATATGTAGTCCAGTATACTCATTTAGTATTGAGTTTTAGTAGCAATTCTACATATATATGCATGCGCACATGTGCGCGCACGCACGCACACACACACACACACACACACACACACACACACACACACACACACACACACACACACACACACATCTCAGTGCACATCCATTACCTCTCCTACCCTTCTTGCACATCTTCTCCTACTTTGCTCTCCTAACCCTAGCCAGCAGGTCTACAAAGTAGCACTTTCTGTGTGCCGGCAGCAATTCCTGGAGGGCATTCAGGCAAACAAACCCAGCCAGTGCCCGCTGCATGACTCATGAGAGGCGGCCACTAAGAGAGAGAGAGAGCAAGAGAGAGAGAGAGAGAGAGAGAGAGAGAGAGAGAGAGAGAGAGAGAGAGAGCGAGAGAGAGAGGGAGAGAGAGAGAAATCCATGGTGTCCAATCTGAGAAGCAAGAGAAGGGGTAGAACTGTTAAGAGGGCAAAAATGAGTTTTAAGCCGTTAAGAGCCGATGAGAGGGGGCAGGTAGGGTAGGGACTTAGGAGGGTGGGAGAGCGAGGAAAGAGAAGGAAGGGCGGGGTGTGAGATTAACAGAGGGAGGGGTGAGGCGAGGGAGACTGGGGGATGAGACAGCGAAGGAGAGAGGGAGATGGGGGCAAACTGAGGGCAAACTGCGCAAGCTTGCATGCACACGAGAGGAGCAGACAGGCACGCAGCCCAGCAAAGAAGCACGAAGAGAGCAAAATAACTCTTGTTCCCAAAACCCCCACTCCTTCATTCCCTCCATAACAAAAAAAAAAAGTAATGCTCAGCACGCCATCCTCACATGACAGTGACCGGAGGCCGAGGGAGCTGTGAGACAAAACAAAATGCAGGATATACAAAGGCACGGAGGAAATTAGGTGAAAGGTTACATTGACAATGTGGATTCCCACTTGAGGACAAATGATATATTTTTTTGCTCAAAATCTGAAAAAAAAGAAAAAAGCTCAATCTTACTATTTATTTGTTCAGGTTGAACAAATAAATAGTATTAACCAACACAGCATATAAAAAGAACAACAACAAAATAAAATGGCACTGAAAACCTTCAAGATGAATACATTGTGACTGAAAATATAATGGCGGACTGAATTTTGTCAAAATATAACATTACATACACAAAAAAAAAAAAACCCAACAACAACAAACTAACAAATGACGTGACCTAACGCGTGATTGCTTTTGAATGGCAGAGGCACTATTGAATTTAGAAACAACAATAACTTCATTTTGTTAGATAAATGTTATTGTTGCCTTTTATTAACTTTACCGTTCCGTTTTAACAAACCATAATTATCAGACTGAAATACAAGTCAACAAGTCAACTTTTACACTTACACTTTTGGAGTGCAAAGATTACCTCATGTTTGTTCAGCGCAATTTATTCTCACTTTTACAAAGATAATACAGTGGTACCTCTACTTGCGAACATCTCTTCATACGAAATCTTCAAGTTACGAAACGCCTCAACAGGAAAATATTGCCTCTTGTTACGAAGAAATTTCTAGATACGAACGGTAAAAATTGTCGCAGATCCGAGTTTCCTGAACGCAACATACTTATAACTGCTCTGCCATTGGCTATTACCGAGGATCTTCCTGGCATCCCATTGGCTAAGAGGGATCATCAAATCATGTGTACTTATTGATTCAACCTGTGGTTTTGACACTTTTTGAGGCTTTAAATACAGTATGACACAAAAATACGTAGGATGTGCATTTTTGTTGGACATATTTGTAAGCCCGGAAAAGCTTGCAGTTTCTCCACGTCAACATGTACTGTTGTGCTGGGACAGACGGCGACCGCCCCCTCGCCCCCAGACCGCATTAGACACGGCACTCACGTCATACCCCGCTGAGTACAGCTTCATTGGGTGGGGAGTCAGAAATGGTGTGTGATTGGGTAGAGAAGGCTTTCCTCCTGACAGAAAGGACCCAATAATCACACCAAGAAGTCGCTCAGCAAGCTCTGAGAGTCGTGTCACAGCGAGGACATTTTAAAGCTTTTTAAATAGTTAACATGGCAGCTGCATAGCTTATCATAAATAATGTAGGATCGTAAAGAGTGGGTTGTGAAGTTAGTGTTTGCCTCCAAAAAGATCCAAATACCTTAACCTTCATTTCTTGTTCTTGTAAATGTGAAGATGTACCAAAGATGTTATTTGTTGAGTAACGTTTTCTTCGAGGCACTTTTGATTCAATCTACAAATCTGTCCGTGTTGTTCTGATGTTGTTCTAATGTTCTGAAAAAAAAGGGAAAAAAAAAGCTCTTTTATGTTTTTTTACAAATACTTCTTAAATCCGTATCTCATTTACGCAAGTGTGTGTGCATGCAGCAAATGTTTTGTTTTGTTTTTTGTCAGGGTTCCTTCAATGTTGCATACGTTCGGCAAAGACGGCAAGACGCAAATATTTCAAACCAATTTTAATGGCCGCCAACAGTTGTTCTTGTTGCAGGGTCTTTTATGTCTTTGCTGTTGATTTGCGCTCCACAAAAAAATTTGCCTTCCTTTGCCTTTGTTCCATCCGTACTACTGTAAAATTGAAAATGCAGCCACAGCTTTGACTTGTGTGATGACGGCACATCTTTTAACTTCATTCTTTCACTTGCTTCAGCCACATTCTCTCTCACTGCTTGTCTTCTTCGCCTGTCAATTTCCTCCCACTTCCCCACCGCTCCTGTGAGGCGAGCCCCTAGTGGACCGCCAAGTAATTGCACACTAAGCACTAAGCACAACAAAGGAGCCTTTATAGCAGCCTTGTATTAATTTACAAGATCGATCCTTGGCAGAGGCATATCGATAATCAATCGGAAGACAAAACCATCGTGATGTAACAACATAACGAGATAGTGTCACATTTCTAGTGTACACACACTCGCAAACCTGCGGCACCCATTGAGATACAGACTTACAGCAAAAGTTGAATTAAGTTTGAAATGATCAATTTCTTTTGATGGTGAAACCAAGAGAGTGACAGTGCTGGATATTGTTATTTATAGCAGGTGGCCTATATGTGTCCAACACTGTACGTTTTGTGGAATATCTGCAAAAAAAGTGCTGGAAGTCCAAACGTTAACATGCCAAATATGAGAATAAACTACATTACTGCATATTTGTTTTCCGTTTTTTTTATTCAATCAATGTTACATTAACCTAACATAAATAAACATTTTTATGAACAAAAGGCACACAAGTTCAAATATAAACAAAGAATGTTTTTACAGTTTGTCTCAATCAAACTTGTCTACAGTCTCTGAACATGAGCAGTCAGAAAGAGTGAGAGAGGAGAGAGAGAGAGAGAGAGAGAGAGAGAGAGAGAGAGAGAGAGAGAGAGAGAGAGAGAGAGAAACTCACACAGTGTGTGCGGGCGGCTCTG